GTTGAATGCTTGCTGTCTTGAGATTCAGTTTCCTTGTTTTTCCATTGAAGGAATCGTTAGGTTTCCATCGGATAGTTTGGTCTTGCAGTGTATTCCGGAGCCTGCCATAGGATCCTATCACAGCACTGTGTGTATGTTTTTTTCCTACCACCGAAGAAGCAGGCCAGAGCAGCCTACAGGAAACATTTTCTTTCTTTCTTTTTTTTTTTTTTTTTTTTCCCGGAACTGAGTCTCACTCTTTGTGGGCCCAGGCTGGAGTGCAATGGCGCCATCTCGCCCACTGCAACTCCACCTCCGGGGTTCAAAGCGATTCTCCTACCTCAGCCTTCCCAAGTAGCTGGGATTACAGGAGCACCTGCCATCACGCCCAGTTATTTTTTGTATTTTTGTAGGAGATGGGTTTCACCATGTTGGCCAGGCTGGGTCTCGAACTCCTGACCTCAGGTGATCTACCCGCCCTCAGCCTCCCAAAGTGCCTGGGATTACAGGCGTGAGCCACTACAGCCAGACAGGAAAACATTGTCATTGCAGCCCCAGCTACAAAATGATTCTTCTTTTCCCACTTGGATGGGGAGAAATCATGGGCATGCCAAGTTTAAAAGAGAAGGAGTAAAGGGTCTCTGGTGTCCAGTCTGGAATGCCAGTTTCAGCCTGACGTGGAAAGCTCCCTTGTTCTCTGAAGCACCTCCATGTTGTTCTGAATGTGCAGCCAGTCAACATTCCCTTACTGGACTACACGATGACTGATCTCTTGGGCTCACAGCCCTGCTCAGTGACCTCATGATGTGTGAGGGCCTCAGCCATTTCGTTGACAGTCATGAAAAGGTACTCCTAGGGAAGCGGGCCTGTTTATCCAGAGGTTAGTTGTTAGGAGGGAGACAAAGAGGACAGGTAAAGGACTGATTTTCAAATCAACTCCTTCAGAGTGTTGCTTCTAGCCCTTTTCTGATCTGATTATGAGAATTTGTACAGAGGAGAATCGTTTCTGCCATTTTTCACACACAAGGGTGCACATTCCTAATATGAATTAAAAATAAATATGCCAGTTGTGTACACTCACAGGGATGACGTCAACATTGCGTGCAGCCGCCAATGGCCACTGGGAGGAAGAGTAGACATGGGCCATGAGCTGGCAGGCTCACCTGCGCCCGGCTGGTAAGGATCCGAGACAAGACTTGACAGAGGAGGCTCACAGCAAGGTCAGGGTCAGGCACCTCTGCCACACTTCTTTTTTAAATTATTAGTTGATACTTTAAGTTCTAGGGTACATGTGCATAACGTTGGCAGTTGGACATATGCTATACTTGTGCCATGGTTGGTGTGCTGACCGTTTCCACACTCCTTGTGGGCCACACCGGTCCCGCATGGAGTGCTTCTCCAGGAAGCATGTTTTCTTTCTCACCTTTTTCTTTTTTTTTTTTTCCCTTAAAACAATGGCATTTACAAAACTGTTTGTCATGAGTGGTTCGATTGCCGTAATCCCAGCACTTCGGGAGCGCACAGGCGGAGATCATCACTTGAAGCAACAGTTTGGAGACCCAGCCGGGCAACAACAAACTCCGATATCTACCAAAAATAAAAATAAAATAAGCAGTGTGCCTGGGTTCCAGCTTACTTGGAGAGGTTGAGAGGATTCGCTGTGAGCCCAGAGTCAAGGCTGCAGTGGAGTATGGACTGCACACTGCACTCCAGCGCTGAGCTGACAGTTGAGATCCCCATCCTCTAAAAAAAATATTTTAATAATAAAATACATGATAAAATTAAAAATTAAATAAAATACAAAAAAAAAAAAAAAAAAAGGAAAACTCTGGGCACAGTGGCTCCAGTCCTGTAATTCCGAATCTTTGGGATGCCGAAGCTGACGGGATAGATCACTTGGGGTAAAGTGTTCCAGACCAGCCGGGCCGGTGTGGCTCACGCCTGTAATCCAGCCACTTCGGGACGAGGCGGATGGATCACGATGTTCAGGGAGATGGAGACCACTGGGCCAACACTGGTGAACCGTCATCTCTACCTGAAAATGCAAAAAATTAGCCAGGCATGGTGGCGGCTGCCGTTGTCCAGCTACTTGGAGGCTGAGTGACAGGAGAATGGTGCCACACGGCGGAGGCGGAGTTGCAGTGAGCCGCGAGACTCGCGCCACCGCACTCCGGCCGTGGCGACAGAGCGGAAAAACTCGTTCTCAAAAAAAAGAGGTCCAGATCAGCCTGGCCCATGTTGAAACTCTCTCTACTAAAAATACAAAAATTAGCTGGGCGTGGTGGCCACATGCCTGAATCCCAGCTCCTCGGGAGGCTAAGAATAAAGTAACAGAAGAATCCCCTGTAGCCTGACTACCCAGAGACAGCACGGTTAGCATTTTGTGGTGAATCATTTAGAATGTTTTTCCATGTTTCTTTTACATGGTTCAATAATAATAACTGTATACTTTTGTCTTTTTTTAATTTAACATTGTATCTTAAAGAATTTCTAATTATAAACATCATGTTTATGACTACCTAATATTCTACTGCAAGAATGAAGTCTAATTTTCTTAACAAGTACCGTATTATGGGGCTGTGTTAAAATGGCAATGAGTGTATTTATGCATGACAGTTGTTGCTTCCTAGGTTATTTATTTCAGCTAGATTTCTGGAAGTGGCATCCCTGCCTAGGTCAGTAGTAGTTGGGCACGTTTTTAACTTTTTTTTTTTTTTTGGATACAGTGTCTCCCTCCATCACCCAGGCTGGAGTGCAGTGCCGCCATCTCGGCAGACTGCAACTTCCACCTCCTAGGTTCAAGTGATTCTCCTGCCTCATCCTCCTGAGTAGCTGGGATTACAGGCATACACCACCACGCCCGGCTAATTTTTGTATTTTTAGTAGAGTTCTGCTCTGTTGGCCAGGCTGATTTTGAACTTCCAGCTTCAAGTGATCCGCCTGCCTCAGCTTCCCAAAGTGCTGGGATTACAGGTGTGAGCCACCGCGTCTGGCCTTGATTCTTAATACATATTGCCAAATTGCCCTTCAGATAGCTTATGCTAGTGATGTTCCTGCCCAAAACAGTCAATCTCATTCCATTCTTACCCATGTTGAGTATAATTCTGCTTGTTTATTGAAGAATTTAGGGAGCTAAAAAGTTCTATCCCCACCCTCAGATGTGGGGAGATCAGAGCTAAGAGGTTGCTTCACCTACTCTTCTGTGCC